GGGGGGGGGGCAGGGGGATGGGAGCAAAGGACCATGGTCCAGGGGGGTCATAAATAAGGAGGTGGCAGCTGGTCCCAGTGGAGGAGGGGGCCGCGCTGGGGGCTCCTAGCGCACCATGTACTCCTTGCGCTTGTTGAGCCGGACCTGGCAGAAGGAGAAGCCGCCCAGCAGCACGTAGAGCCCGGCCGCGATGAAGCAGTTGTAGCTGACCTGCTCGTACAGGCGGTAGATCTTCTCCGGCCCATGCACGCTGTGGGGGAGGGGATAGAGAGGGTGGGGGTCAGCCCTGTCTCTCACACACCGGCCCCCCCCCAGGTGTCCAGGAGACAGCCACAGACACACAGGACTCCCCACCCCTGTAGCCCAGGATCATGGCCCTGGAGAAGAAACCTGTCCCCTCCTCAGCTGGGGATCCTCCAAGGATCAGGGCCCTTGGAGGTGAGACGAGCCCACCCCCACCAAGACCATCCAGGCCAGCACCAGGATCAGGCCCAAACTGGTTTCCCCCCCCAACTCTTACTCATCAAAGTCTTCCTCAGTGAAGGGCACGTCCTCGATCAGCACGGCCGAGTGCACATTGAAGAAGATGCCCAGCAGGATCTGGGGGGGGGCAGGAGAATTTTAGAGGGCTGAGTGTTGGTGTGAAGACCCCCAGACTCCTCACTGGGGAAGCACCAGCCTGTGACCATCCCCAGTCAGCTCCTCCCCATTGCCCTTAAACCAGGGTTGGCCAATTATCTCGGCTGGAGGGATGCTCAACTAGTTTTGGTGAGCTGCTGAGGGCGGCAGGGGTAGCCCCACACCTTGACAGGTGCCCTACCCCCTGGTTGCCATCTTGGAACCAGGAAAAAAACCAACAACTTAGTCTTAAAAAAACCCAAAAAACAAAAACCCAAACAACATACACTCATTTGATTCATAGATTGTAGAGTGAGAAGGGATCACAATGGATCGCCGTGTCCGACCTGGCAGGAAAGAGGACTGAGGTCAGACGACCCCAGCCAGGTGACTGTCAAGCCTCCTCTTGAAGACCTCCAAGTTAGGTGATAGTACTACCTCTCTTGGCAGCCCGTTCCAGATTCTGGCCACTCTTACTGTGAAAAATTTGTTCCTAATACCTAACCTAAATCTACTCTCCACTAGTTTGCACCCATTATTCCTACTTACTCCCTGGGGCGCTCTGGTATAGTGCATCACCAATTTCCTGTTGTCCTCCCTTGATAAACTTATAGGTGGCTACAAGGTCTCCCCATGGCCGTCTGTTGTGAAGGTTGAAGAGATCCAGATCTCTCAACCTCCCCTTGTAGGGTCTTTCACTGAGGCCACTAATCATGCAAGCAGTCTCCTCTGGATCCTCTCCAGATTCTCCGTGTCCCTCTTGAAGTGTGGCGCCCAAAACTGGACACAGTACTCCAGCTAAGGCCTGAGCAATGCTGCATAGAGGGGGAGCATCACCTCCCTCAATCTGTTGGTCATGAATCATTGATTTCAAAACATGTTTTTTTCCTGATCTGTGTGCAGTGTACGTAGAGGTGATTGCATCATAGTTTAAAGGGGGGTATGGAGTTTGTGGGGGGCAGAAACATGTGGGTCTGTGTGGCTATGTCAAGTGTGGGTAGATGTGGCAGAGGGTAGCTGGGGGCATTGTGGTATGTGGAGGAGGAGGGTGGCTGGGGGTGTGTGTGTGTGTGTGTGTGTGTGTGTGTGTGGGTGTGGGGGGGTGTGTGGGTGTGTGTGTGTGTGTGTGTGTGTGTGTGTGGTAGTGAGGGGGTGCGGGTAGATGTGGCCGATGGGGTGTGCATGTTGGACCCATCCTACAGACACAACCCCACCATTGCATGGTGTGGGTACATGTGGCTGATGGGGTGTGCATGTTGGACCCATCCTACAGACACAACCCCACCATTGCATGCAGCCCCTGCCACCAGCAGCAGGAGCAGGCGGTGAGGCCTGGGGGGGCACTCATGACCTGCGGCAGAGGCAGAGAGCCTTGGTGGTGCATGGTTTGATGAACCCCAGGACTGCATGTGGCTGGGCCACTGGCAGGGAGAGCAGGGAGCCAGGCCGCTGCCCAGCTCCATGGAGCCCCTGCTCCTGCCACCTTGCCCTGGGCCCCTGCTGGCATGGGCGGATAAACTGCCGGTTGCAGGCCCAGGGGCCACTACCAATCAGGGTGCCCAGGACCCTTATCATCAGGGAAGCAAAAGCCATGGCTTTAAACTTGATGCTATTTTTCTCTCCCAGCAGGGAGACAAAAATGGTGCCAAGTTTAAAACCTTGGCTTTTGCACTTGGTTATCTGGGAGCCAGGAGTGGGGCCCCTCCAACAATGGGGCTGGGGGGCGGGAGTGCCGCACAGCACTGTGCCTGGGGGGGAAGCCTTGGGGGGGCTAGAGCCCCCCCAAATTCACCTTAGCCCTCTGCAACCACCCCTGGAAGCACTGCTACAGCCAACAGGGGTGTGGCGTGGTGCTCCCGGCCCCCAAGCGTTTGTGTGGCCTAAGCGTTAAGCCCTAAGCGTTTGTGTGGCCGCATGGGACTCAGCCCCTATTAGACTTACCTGCAACTCCCTGCCTGTGTGTCCACGTGCAGAGAATGAGTGAGTGGAGCATGTGCGGACGCATGCACGTGTTGGGCTGTGGCAGGCAAGAGAGGTGGGGAGCAGGGAAAAGAGGCAGGCATGCCCCCCCCAGCCCAGTGGGGTCCACCCAGCCCCCAGTGGTGGCCTTAGGGGAGGGAAAACTGAGCAACCACCACACTTCAGCAGTGACCTCAGGGTTGTTGGGGCCCTGGGGCCCCCTACAGCACCAGGAAGGGAAGGGGACCCTCCCGTGGGGGCAGGGGACCTCCAGCTCTGTTTGCCCAGGGCGTCAATGCACTTTCATCCACGTGCACCGGCTGGCCCAGAGCTGGCCCGGCCAGACCCTACGCTTCCCAGCTGGCTCCTGCTGCGGTCAGCCCCCGAGCCTGTTTACACACAACTGGAACCGGCCTGGATCTAGTTCCAACCCCCACGAGGGGGGGGGGGGGAAACTTTCCAGGGG